ACAGTAGGAAACAGGCCTTAATAAGGGAGATATGGATAAAAATTGGGTTAGTTTAAGGGAGGGGGAGGGAAGGGTATACAAGGAACCTAGGGGATAAAGGGAAAGAAGGAGCTCAAGAGACATAGGACCATAGGAGAAGGGTATTATTAAGGGAGAAAGAGGGAAAATGGGGGCACCTTAATTGTGAAACAATGATGGAGGGGTTAGGCAATGCGAGAGATAAATAATGCCTAGCTAGTTTTAAAAAACCAGAGGTAACCATATTACTCCAACAACCTATTGACAAATTATACATACCAGATCAAGAACTCTGTGTCTAGACTAACCTTCTTGGATGTTTAACAGACATACCTTGAGATCTATACTAATTGGGCCAGAGGGATACAAAGGACACTTTTTGCTCCTTGCCCTCCTAGGTCGATTAGTTCCCAGGGACTATGAGCATCTCACAAAATGTCCTGTAATGGTGGTGGGTCATCTGACCCCTTGATCAAGGAGGCCAAGGAGACCCCACCATATGGACTTGAACCAGTGTCCAGTCTGTAAAGAGGAGGGTCAACACAGAGGAGTCATTTCCTCCATGCTTCCAAGTGAAGCCAACCATGGTCGACCTTTGACTTATCTTCACATAGGCAGAACTGGTAAAAGAAACGCGCCAGGGGCTCCTTCCAAGCCCATGTGACTCCTGAAGAACAGATCCTCAAATGACCTTACAAGTAAAAATAAATTGGTTTATCTGGGCCAACTGTGTGGCCTTAAACACCCAAAAGGAAAGTATAACCAAAGATTAAAGGGGCCAATATAATTTTTTAAAGAGTCCATATGTATAGCTAAAGGCTACATAACAAGCAACAATGCCAGATAGGAGATACCTTCTTTTGAGTTGTTGGCCAGGGTGGCCAAAGGGACTCCCAAATAGTAACCCAGCACAGAACTGGGAAAATAAATAGCAAACCCCAATCTTATCTAAAGGAATATTGACAACTGATTGCTGATAGATGAGGAACAGCTGACCTTCCTAAAACAAAGAGCTCTAGATAGGCTGACTAGATTCACCAGATGGACAAATAGTGGGGAACAGCTGTGGGTGCCGACAACACAGACAGTAGCAGGGATAACAGAGTATAAGGGCTCTAGTGGGGGGAGGGAGGCTATGGGAGGGTGCCATCTGGGAAGTGGGTGTATAGTTGAATAAGATGGTTTGGGATGTTCAGTAACACACACACAAACATAAACTTTTAAAATGTATTATATTTGAGGAGGAA